TTTTGAATCTATCCCAGAATTTAATGAAATCCCTATGAACTGACTCCCCGGCCTGCTCGGACCATAATCCTAAACCATCGTTATTCAAGAATGAAATAGATTGCTTTAAATGTTCAAGGATAATATGGATTTTGACAGTTTGAGAAATTCCAGTACTTTTCAAAGCTGTGCGGAGTTCGTTAAGGTTTTTATCAAAATTACTAAGGTCCTCTTGTTTGCGGAAAAGCATGTATTCACGATTTTGTTCATGGCTTTGAACGAGGCAATATATTTGGTATTGTTTTTACTGAGAGTTCCTTCCATACAAACTATGTTCAAAATTTTTTTGTATGTGAAGACATTTAAAGTGTTCTTTACTTTTTATGAATTTGATTGTAAAGCTTTTCATGAGCCATATTTGAAGATGCTGTTGCCTTCCTTTCGTTGTTTTCAATGCCGAATTAATAATAAAGGCATTGTCTTTCGTGCAGCTCGAAATTGAAAAATTTGCTCTTAAGCCCAGTTTACTTCCTTTTAAGTAAGGCACTGCGAAACATGTTGTTATGGAAAGGCTGGTTTGACATGTCGTATAAGCAATAACTCGTGGTCGTACTATCGGAAGGCCTTATTAGTTCAGTCGAATTTTACACACGATGAACTTTTGGGGTATTGTTGCCGACATACTCACAATAATTATAATTTATGAAACTGTTTGTACCGCTATGTCACGTAGCACAGTGTTTTAGACGTACGCCTACTGAATGGCGGCAACACGGAAAGTTGTGGGGAAGCGAACCTGCGCCTCCAGTCGATGATGACGGAGCCTGATTATGACGAGGTACGAATAGTAATAACTCGGCTGAAAAACAAGAAAGCCGCTTTCGACAGCACTAAAAGGAGTTACCCACATGCCGCGATGTCTGAATTCGGCACCCCCGCGAAAATGATACGACAGTGTAAAATGACGTTGAGCAATACCCCCAGACCTCTCCCAAGTTTGATAAGGAAGCAAAGCGATTGGGTCCGGTGGTCAATGAGGACAACACGAAGTATCTCCTGCCATCAAACAGTCAGTGCTTTCGCGCCTTGGTACTGACTAGGGGGGGATTGACTCGGCTTTTCTGATTCGGTTTCCACCCCATTTTTTTGAAATCTTGATTTTTCGAATATCGAATAAAGCAGATTCGTCGTCGAACAATCGGTTATTTCCACTTAATACTTATCAAGGAATGAAACCGATTCAAAATAACGTTCCGGTTTGGGTTTCGGTTTTGGCAAGTGTTTCGGTTTCGGTTTTGGTTTCGTTCTTCA